GCCGAACCCCGTCTTCGCTGTCGGCGAGAAGGTAGCGTACCACCTCTTCTCTCTCCGAAACGTTGAAATTCTTGCGTTTGAGCCCCTGGGAGGCACTCCCAGCAGCAGACATGTCCCGCCAGCAGACGGGAAGGCGTTTGACCGGGGCTCCAAAGTTGGGGTGGTGAAATCGGGCGTGTTGTGCTGGGGTGCAACACACTTTGTTGAGGTGGTGTGAAAAGAGCAGCGGTTCTGCGCGCTGCGCGCCAGTGCGGCGGAACCAGAAAAAAAAACCGTTCGGAAAAAGAGTTCGGCAGACACGAGTTCTATTGCTTTTTGTCCAAACCTTGCTTATATTCTCGGACAGAGGGAGTATTAACTATGTGCCACCGTAATAGCAGCGCGAGGTTCTTTGCCACTTGGGCGTTCACGAACTCTCTCCGTGCCATGCAGGGGTGTTTTTAATTGTGTTTTGGGGGACGTTGCCATAACGTTTTCGCCTCTTGCGCCTTTTTTTTTTCAAATTTCGCAGATGGGACTTCTAGACTGTGTTTGTGTGTTGATCTATGGAAATGTAGGGACAGATTATTCTGCATGCGCGAACATAAAAGACAACGGGCACCCTCTGTACACTTGTTGAGATATTCCTACAAACTTTGGAGGGTACAACAAGCATGCTGGTTGACTAGGAACTAGACTACTCCCCGGTTGTCCACCCTAATGTGCTTCTTCTTTCCTCTACCTTCATGTGACTGCTGCAATACAACGCATACATAACCCGATCAAGAATATTTCTGCAACAAGGCCTCTTTAGTCCCACGAAATGGCCCTATTTCCCGGTTTAGCGACCGCTAGATGCTTTTGAGAGTCCCGGTTTAGCGATCAATGGTCGCTAAACCGGGTTTAGCAACACGCCCTGAATAGCGACCATATTTCGTCGTGACACTAGGGGTCGCTAAACCGGGGCCCCCACTGCTGTACATAGAAAAATGGGGAAAAATGAACCAGAAAATGTACCGCCATTTTCGCCCCAAAAAGAAAATCCGATGTCCAGCACTGGCGGTGTTGCAAACTCCAATGCGTGTGTGTAGGATATAGATAGATCTCGGGCCAAACCAGAGCTGCGAGTTCTTCCTGTCTATTCTTCGGTAAGCGGTGCTTGGTCCCCGTGTACTACCCATCACGTCATCCGATCTCTATTCGTACTTGGAATGGAGGTCTCTGTGTTGTCGTGACTCTTCGGCTGCGTTGACGGAATGACGTAATCAATCAATCGGTCAGCCACCTCTCCTTCAATTCAAAAATACGAAACCCACCTTGACACCCTTGACCTCGAGCAAAATCCGACCATCATCCGTGAAATCCACAATCAGCTCTTGCAGCTCCATCTCAGGAGAGCTGCTCATCTCTCCGCTGGCGGACGGCTCCGGCGACGACTGCTCGTACGTTGACATGCGAGCTCGGGTGAGAGAACGTGATGATGTTGCGGCAGTGTTCGGTGTTGGTGTCAGCTGCTGCGTGTTGCTCGGTCTACCCAGGTTTCGTGCCAGCGCCGCTGGAGCTGGTACAACGAACGCTTCGACAGCGAACGCCACGAGTAATGCAAACACAAGGGCTCGGACGGCACCTGAAACGGCCATGGTGCACAGACAAGGACAGTGAGAGCCTCGCAGTTTGAGCAGTGAGCGAGTGATTACTCGCACTGGTGTATTGTCAGTGTTATATGGATATACAATATTGCTCACAGCACGTGACCGACTGGGGGGGGCACATGCCATTTTTTTTTAACATACACACGGGGCACCGTGAAGTCGCCAATTCGACCGGACCGTAAGCTCATACGCTTATCACGCCTCAACGCCCACAGCAGTTCATTGTCCCGCACCAAATGCCGGGCCGTAAGAAAGGCCGACAGAAAGGAGCTGCCGGTAGCAAGGCTCAAAGGTGTGTGTCTCCTCATTTTGGCGTAGTTGCTCAAGAGCGAGTTGAGGAGGAAAGCAGCTGTCTTTCCGTTTCCCGCACCACTTTACGGAGGATATCACCCAACTTATCTACTCCATACTAACAAGCAATAGGAGGCTATGTTCACAGACTACCATGTACAATACTCAGGCTGCTGTAAAATCACCATTTACGCCATGGTTGGGGTTGTGTATATATGCTTATTATTAGGTCGGACCCGTCACGGGGTGTGTGTTACAGCAGTGCACCACCTCAATGACTGGGACTGCAGAGTGCTGTCCTCAACCGTAACCCCTGCAATTCCACCGACTTCATCCTCTACCCAATCTGATTGCTTAATAAACAGCTGCGTAGGCTACCAGCCAGCCGATAGTCTCGGTAGCCCATATCTCCTCCGGCGCGCTCTATTATAACTATTCTCGAAAGTTGAACATAAGGCAACCACAAGCATGTACAGCACGATGGCGTGCATTGATCTTGCCCACAGCTGAGGCCATCAGACGTGCCGACCACAAGGGAAGTGATACTTCACGTCGAAGATCCACTATTGCACACTCAACGAAATACCGCGCAGAAGCAATCTCTAGAAGGAGGACGTAGCATTATAATCCTACTCTGTTTCCCTTTGTGTCATTGAATCCAGCGCAAGAAGGTGGAATGATGCCATGAGAGATGCGAGGGAAGACCTCGCTTGGGATCGACGGCAGAACCTTGGGCGGGGCGGAGATTCCGCCCCCCCCCGGCTGAGTGCAATCGGGTTCCAGTCCTTGGCGACACCCCTGCGTCAACGAGTGCGTGCGGATGAGGTGAGTGTCGACAACTCCAAAGCTCGCACGTGCCACAAGAGCTTAGATCAAGTCCAAGAAACAAACGTGAAAACATGATTGCTCAGGCTCAAGATATGTGAATCACCAAGGTTTTGCCCCCTTCGCCCTGGCTTTCAGGCCGTACTTGTTCATGGGAAGCCGTGGTGAGGACGCAGGTCTTGCCACTGTCGCCTCTCCGAGCGTGTATGTATCGCTAGACTTTTCAGCCTCTCAGACTACCCAAGCCACCTTCGTGCGCCCGACGAACTCCTCTTGAATCAGCTCTCTCTTCTCGCGTGTTTCTTCTCGCTTGCCTTCGTTGGGTCTGCTCTGATGCGGACTCACAGATTGATGCGGCAGCCCCGCCAGCGGTTCGTTCGGAGAACCTGGCTGGCAAGGTTGTAGCGGGGCCGAGCAACTATTTTTCGGTCGACTGGACCGAGACCCGGCCGCGTAAGACGTGCACGTTACTCTCCCTTTGCATCAGACAGATCGGTGAGTTTCTCACCTCTGACGGGTGTTTGTAGTTGCACCCGCTGGGCCTCAAATACCAAATTTATTGGTTGAGACTCTGCTGCTCGTGTACATCTCGACGCGCTTTCAAACAGCGTAGCTTCTAGCGAGGCCGTCGCAATACCTCCTCTTTTCTCGCTCCCTACAATCGCCCCGAACACGCGACGGATGCCGTTCTAAACAACCTCAGGGTATGTGCAGGTGTAGACCACCGGGGTTGAGCTGGTCAGTGCAGTCTCTTCGTAAGGCAATACCTTCCCCTTGTCGCCCGAAACATGACTCCAGGGCGAGATTTTCTTGCGTACCGTGCCGACGACGACGCGGTCGCGGAAGCGTTTCTCCTTCTGCCTTCGCCTTGCCTCTCCCGCCTGTCCCGCTCGGCCTCTGCGAGGGGGAACGTAGCCGACCACAACATTGGGCTTCTGTGCAGCCCTGGGGTTAGCACGTTGTGGTGCCGAGGACGCTTCACGGACAAGGTGCAGTGTTAGCCTATTGTAAGACAGCTGTACGGTAGTGTCGACAACTGGTTCCTGCTATCGTAGATTGGCGTGGAGTGACTAGAATATAATATGGCTACTTGGGATCAGAAAAAACCATTGGTTTAATCAAATTCGATTGCTGTCGTTGCGAGCAAACGTTCGTTGGTCCACTCCACAAGCGCAAGAGCTAAATTTATTGAGGTTCCCGCTTTCGCCGCAACAATAGTGTTCTATTGACGAAAGTGAAGGAGTAGTCCCGACATCCGTTGCTGCAACCTTATGGGTATCACGTAGTTCCCAAACGTTGACGCGTGTCTTGCTGTATTATTTCTTGCCCCCTTCATCTCAGTCGTCATGAAGACGACCTTACACCGTGGCATGTAGCACGAGGGCACACCGAGCGTTGACAAAAGACTGCTGTACGCTCCCTCTTCTTGACATGCAGGGCGCCGGTGCTCTTTTGCCAGCGTTGAATGCGGGCGATACGCCCAACGGAGGGTCTCACGCAGCCGACCTCGCCGAGGTGTACCGAGACGACACGGTGGCGGATTGCTTAGCGGGCAACGCAGTAGATGCGACGATGGACACCAAGAGCAGGGTAGCGAGCAGTGACGACGGGCTTGTTGCGTCGACACAGTCGGCCGCCTACCACCCAGCTGGTGGCGAGGCCGTGGTCGAGGGAGCGGAAGAGGAATGGGAGACTGCGTGCGATCGCATAGAGGCCTCTCTTCGCGGGGGCGTCTCGCTCACGTCCTTGGATTTAAGCAGCCCCCGTGTCACTGCCGGCTTTGTGAAGAGGTGACGATGCGGGTTGGGAGGGCCGCTGCTACGGCCGACCGGCCGTGGCCTTGCTTTTGCCGTAAAACGAGCACGACCGAAGGTTCACCAACGGGTATCATACATGCGTGTGATTCGCCAGAGAGACGAAACGCGCATGTTGAGTCACGATGATAGCCATCGTAGTCCAAAAACCTGTCGGTCTTGGTTTGTGGCAGCCCTTTTTCCCACTTAGTCGATTACCAGGCCCTTTGCCATGCTGGTGCTGGTGCGTGAGCACCCTGTTGCTTCTTTCTCGCCCTTGAGTTGCCACGGTTGTTTGCTTTCGACCAGAGTTTCCCCGTATCTCCTTGACGAAGTGTTTTTTAACGATGGTACAGGCTGACGGCCCGGATACCTTCTTTGCGAAGACTCGGCCTCCGCGGATCTTTCGGCGTGGTCGGAGGTCCAGACTTTGTTTGCGATCACGTGCCCCGTCTCTGCGCCTTGCGAGAACTCGACGTATCCCACTGCACGTGAGTAACGGCGCGGGCTTGAGCACATCATGCCAACCTGGAACTCCTTTGTGCCAAAGTGATTTGTGTAGTGACCAGTGGATGGACGAGAAGCTGCAGCTGTGTCATCGAACCTTCTAGCTGACGGTGGATGGTCGGGGATACAGCGTGTGCCAGCTCACATCTGCACCCGAACCTTGGATTCAGTGTACAATCCGGCCCTCTGCGTAACCCCTCCGCATGTCCACTCTCAGGTGGTTCTGCGATCTCACGCTGCGGCGTCTTGCCAAGTCCCTGTCGCTCAGGGCTTCAGCGGCGGCGGGAGACCCCGAAAATCAAGGACCACACGTGGGGGGCGTCACATCTCTGCAGGATCTCGACGAGGCAGAGACGCGCGGCTGGGGTGCTGCTCTCGCACCATCGACGAATAACCTTGTATTCGCTGGACATGCAGGGTCGGGACCGTCGGGGTCGGACGCGGATCTGGTGTCCGGAGCCAGTCGAGAGAGTGGCGAAAAGGAACCATCGAGCCTTGGGCGGTCTCTGCACCGCTTCCGCACGTTCACGGTTGTGTGCGCACGAACCGCGGTGACCGAGAAAGGTGCAAAGGCGGCGGAATCGATGTCTCCTGGGTTGATGGTTGTTCTGGTATCAGACAACCCGGCCGCCGCCGGCGGTACGCTGAGTTTGGCGTCTTCGTGAGCAGTAGCAAGAGTTACTGTTAAATGTGGTACGCTTTGTAAATGCCTGCAGTGGGAGGCAACGTGCTGACCAACAGCGGTCTGGGGCACTCTTAGATTGGCGACACTGCCTTCTCTACTGCAACCCCCTTTGAGAACTCCACCATGGGATGCCTTTTTTCTTGTTTTGTAAAAAGAACACTCTTGATTGTTCTCAAGAAGGCATATGGACCATCGCTGCACACAAGGAAAGTACCCGCAGGGGCGATAAATGCCCCGTGGCGTTGCTCTCTTGTTCGTGTAGGCGACACCCCCACAAATCACGCACACACGTTGTCACGCAGACCTCTCGTGCTGTGTCCGTTGCGTGCGATCTTGTATAGTTTTTTGATGTCCAATCGTTTTTTCTCGCCGTGTTGGTGTGTCGAAAACGCAGTGCGTTTTATTCTTGTGCTTTCTGGATATGGCCAAGTAAGACTGCGGCGTACAGATTTGTAACATTTCTTTTTTTCTCCTTGGCTAGGCGCTTCAGTCGACAACATGTCAGCTGTGTGAGCTTTTCGAGCTTGGGAGAGTCACTGATGGTAGCTGATTCTCACCAAAACATCCTACTGTCATCTTTGTATCACGCCTTGATGACACTCCTGCCATAATGCTCTGGTAAGCCCACTCCGGAGGCGGGCCTCGTAGCAGATAGGAAAACAACACGGCTCATGTGACCAATGGGCAAAAGAGCAAGCACTGTTAATCTTTGTGAGTTTTGCCGTACCATACAGCATTTAGTCTTTGTGCACGGGTGTAGCTCTTATGTTTGTCGGCAGGAGTACCGGGTGCTCGATTCTATGACAGCAGTGTTGATGGAAAATCTCATATTGGCAAGCATCGACTTCGAAGCGTCGACATCGTTGTCGGAATGAACCCTTGGAGTTCTCTTACAAGGCCCAAAAGGTGGGTGTCCACAATTTGTGGCAAAAAGATAACGCCCCGCCCTAATTCAAGTGCTTGAGCCTCGCCAGCGATATATCTTTTGAGGAAGGAGGCGTTCTCAGCAGGAACTATTGGTTGCCACGGGTCGCCGATCATTTCGAGCTCTTCGAAAATATTGGTGGATGCATTCTGCGAGGGTCGCCGATCATTTCGAGCTCTTCGAAAATATTGGTGGATGCATTCTGCGAGGGTGGCGATGTTTCGAAGGCGGTCCCAGGTGAACCTTCCGTGGGAAAAGAGTGCGCTGATGCCAACTTCCATGTCTACCGAAGGATGTTGTATGCGTTGTCTGGCTTTCCGTGCACGCGCAAACGGCGTCACAGGTGGGTACGCTTCATACTGTCCGTGTTCAACCCTTGTGGAGAAGGGCGACCTTAGAATTTAAGGCGAGCAAAATATTGGGTCGGCTATCAGTGGACACGCAGGACCCCCGTTCGTTGTTGCGCCGGAAAAGACGCGACAATCTCCTCGTTCGTCACCAAGTTCAATTCTGCCTTAAACGTGTGAGAGTGGAAAGGCATGCTGGGTTGCTCTCTCCCCGGCGTATCCGTGCGGCTCTCCACACGCAGGTTCGCCAGGCCAGGGGGGCCTACATCGTAACGATGCGTTCGGCGTCGTCCATTAGCACGCCGTATGACTCGACTTCTTTTTGGTTGACACCCATGTTAACCTTCATCACAGTTCCGTACCCTGGTTGCTTCACATTCCAACGACCGTTGTGAAGGCGAGTGCCGAGTACGATGTCCAGGCACCCCTGCACGAATGCATGCGGAAACGCGCAAGGCACACTAAATAGCAACGGATGTAGGTTCTTTGGACAAGTGCTGGTGGCGAAACGCGACAAGGCTGTAGCTACTCGAGCTGTCCTCATACCGTCTGCGCCACGTCTGTTTGACACGATAAATCATGGCTCATCAAAGAAATCCGCATGAAAACCTGCGCCTGTCTTGCCTTCTCTTCTTGAAGCCGCGCTCTCTTCGACATTTTCTGTGCCCTCCGTCGCAGCTTCTGTAACGCCTTGTCTCCATTCCTATCCTTGCCCACCTTGGGGGCGGTGCTGCCGTCAAACCCGTTGCTCTGCTTCCCCTCCGCCTCCTGCCCGTTCGCGGTATTGACACCCGCCGTGGCATCCCCTTTGCCACCAGTCTTTCCTCCGCCCCCACCCTATTTCTTCCCTCCCCTTCCCTTGCTCTGCTTCCCCTCCGCCTCCTGCCCGTTCGCGGTATTGACACCCGCCGTGGCATCCCCTTTGCCACCAGTCTTTCCTCCGCCCCCACCCTATTTCTTCCCTCCCCTTCCCTTGCTCTGCTTCCCCTCCGCCTCCTGCCCGTTCGCGGTATTGACACCCGCCGTGGCATCCCCTTTGCCACCAGTCTTTCCTCCGCCCCCACCCTATTTCTTCCCTCCCCTTCCCTTGCTCTGCTTCCCCTCCGCCTCCTGCCCGTTCGCGGTATTGACACCCGCCGTGGCATCCCCTTTACCAATAATCCTTTCTCCGTCTCCGCCCTTTTTCTTCCCACCCGTTCCCTTGCCCTGCTTTCCCTCTGCCTCCTGCCCGATCGCGGAATCGACACCCGCCGTGGCATCCCCTTTACCAATACTCTTTTCTCCGTCCCCGCCCTTTTGCTTCCCACCCCTTCCCTTGCCCTGCTTTCCCTCTGCCTCCTGCCCGATCGCGGAATCGACACCCGCCTTGGCATCCCCTTTACCACCAGTCTTCCCTCCGTCCCCGCCCTTTTTCTTCCCACCCCTTTCCTTGCCCTCCTTCCCCTCCGCCTTCCGCCCGTTCGCGGAATCGACACCCGCCTTGGCATCCCTTTTACCACCAGTCTTCCCTCCGTTCCCACCCTTTTTCTTCCCTCCCCTTCCCTGGTCTTGTTTTCCTCCCGACTCTTGTCCGTTCGCGGGCTTCGTTTCCTTGCTCGCGCCGTCCTTGCCGCCGTCCACGTTACTGGTGCTCCGGGTTTTTTGTTGCGCTTCGCGGGACCTGGCCTCCTCGGCAGCGGCGTCCGCTTCCCGCTGTGCTTCTTCTCTCGCCTCATTCTGATGTGCACAACAAGACATCAGTCGCAAAAGGGCACGATATACTTGGAGCTTCAATCACTCAACGAGCGCTGACAAGGTCCAAGAGTTTGCTTGTCTTTTTGTTGGATCGTGGCTTCTAGACGTTCGAGGTGTTGAAGCAGATACACATACGCCGATATGTGTCACAGAGGATGTGTGCTGCGCGCACCAAGTAATGCGCATGCTTGCGGAAATGTTGCGAAACCGCTGTGCAAGTGTTGGGGAAACCTTCATAAGATTCGATCCACTACGCCGCATTTCGGCGTGCTCACCACGAGGATATCGAACGCCTCCTCGTTTGCTTCTGTGGCATGCTCCGTACACTGAAACAGTCTCTGCCAACACACGAATATTCATCCGATGACGATGAGGTGAGGCGAAGGCAAAGATGTCACGGAATGGTTATCGCCGAATAGTTAAGACTTCTTCTGTCCAACGCGCCAGAACACACGTCTGGAGTTCCCTGAGAATGCTCGGGTAGGGGCAACATCACGAGGTTTGTAATGAGCCTCTCTCACTCATATTTTCGAACGTACTCGACGCTAACCGAGAGTCCCTCACCGGCCCGACCAGCAACCAGTGTGCCCTCGCACATTAATCGGAATTCTTGAAGCCACTTACCACATGATAGCCCATGATGCGTTTCAAGTCAGCATCGCACCTCTCGAAGTGGGATTCGGCCTGTCGATTCGCAAGGATCACAGGCAAAGCAAGCGGTGGACGTCAACCACGTTACGTCTCGGCACACACATCGTTTTGAATCGTACGGAAGATCATCGTGTACGTGGCCAAACAGCTCAGGAAGGTGGGCAAATATGCGTGGCCTCAGCGAAAATACAACTTCATCACTAACCCTAGTAAAAAGCTCCGAACCCTCACGCTTTTGTTGGCGTTCGTCAGCCTCCGGTGGACGTCCTCTTCCTCGTCCGCCGTCAATTCGTTCAGCTCTGGGCCAAGCATAGCGTCTTGTACCTGCCGCTTTGAGGCCTTGACCGCCTCCTTGGCTTGACTCTTCAACATCCTGAATTTCCTTACAGCGCGGTCCTTCGCGACGATGGTGGTGTCATCGGACACGGTAACGAAGATGTTTAGCTCGGGAACGTGGTTTTTCCACGTACTCTAGGTATCCAGTCGCATTGTCGAAGGGCGGATGATAACTGGAGCTGTAACCCATGGTCATGGCGACGTGGAGTGGACCTGCGCGCCGATTCCCACGCCGGTAGAAAAAGCGTGTGCTTCCAAGGTCCTCCCTGAGCGTTGTTGAAGGTGTTGACTGCAACAGACCGAGCGCGAGTGGATACGGCAACGAAATGCATTCCGAAAACGACATCACGGAATTGTCATTAGCGTGTCCCCCACCCATTTTCCTTCGTTTTCCTTTTCCTTTCGGGCATTGCATAGCTCGTCAAATTCGTACGTGAAAACTGGGTGGGTCATCGGCAGGCACCCAAGAACGGACAACGATCCTACCGCACTACGATCATACTACTCTCTCTGAGCTAACCAGTGGTGCTGCGTGTTGCGGCGAAGCGATGAGCTGTTGCCTCGGATGGACTTACATCGATACCAAACCGGTGACAATGGGTGCTAAATAACTCTATACGCGTCCAGCCTTTCAGCTAACACACTCACATGGCAGAAACACTCGCAGAGGAGATTGGACGACTATGGCGAGTATCGGAAAGACATATTGTTGGAGCCATGCCCCAGGCTTTGCTATGGTCCGCAGCTGCGCAAGGAACATCAGCCGCGCGTAGTTTGACGACCCGACGTGCCAGTTGTTGTCGACGTCGGGCACCACATGCCACCCGTTCTTCTCCAGCGTTTCCCGCACATCCGACGTGCAGTTGAACCATGCCCCGAAATGGTCATCCTGCTCCAGCAGAAATAGCTCCATGTACTTTAGCCCGTACAGCACGACGCTGAGTCATAGCTTCACCGCCATTGTCTTCACTGCACTTCTGACTCGTCGACCTCCGNGCCAGTTGTTGTCGACGTCGGGCACCACATGCCACCCGTTCTTCTCCAGCGTTTCCCGCACATCCGACGTGCAGTTGAACCATGCCCCGAAATGGTCATCCTGCTCCAGCAGAAATAGCTCCATGTACTTTAGCCCGTACAGCACGACGCTGAGTCATAGCTTCACCGCCATTGTCTTCACTGCACTTCTGACTCGTCGACCTCCGTCCTTGGCAAAGAATGCCGCCACAGAATTCAACAAGCAGTCGCCGTTGCCCTCGCTCTCGAACGGAGTGCCCACGCCCTCACCATCTTCGGGTTCGATNTCCGACGTGTAGTTGTACCATGCCCCGAAATGGTCATCCTGCTCCAGCAGAAATAGCTCCATGTACTTTAGCCCTTACAGCACGACGCTGAGTCGAAGCTTCACCGCCATTGTCTGCACTGCACTTCTGACTCCTCGACCTCCCTCCTTGGCGAAGAATGCCGCCACGGAATTCAACAAGCAGTCGCCGTTGCCCTCGCTCCCGAACGGAGTGCCCACGCCCCCACCATCTTCGGGTTCAACCCCGTTAAGGAGAGCCGCGGTGAACTTGTCCTTAAACAGGCCCTTCGCCTGAAGCTCCTTTGCGGTCTGGACGGGAATCGAGGAGGATACATTACGGCCATAAATTATCAAGTATATCGTCAATGTTGAGAACACTACGATAATGAAACTGATCATGAATAAATTATGAAACGGAGAGCGTACCTGTAAGTTCACCATGTACCTAACTGACATTTGGTGAATGCCTGAATTTACCCTGTCTACTCCCCGCATGAAACCAGCGACACGTATGGAGCACGAATGGCATAACAGAGGACAAAAATATTTACCTCACGATGGAATTGACCATGCTGCTAAGAGTACATCACAATTCAATTCCTCCGATACGAGGCTGCTACCCCATCTCCATACAACAACGTCGTGCAGATGATTTGCAGTGCGGTTTTGCAGTCCGTTCGCGGTCCGTTTGCAGTCTGGTGAACAAAAAAACTCTTTCGTCGATCATGTTCGTGAGTCTGCGAACATTGCTGTTGGATACATGTGCTGGATGATTTTCCAAAACAGTCTCACCCGATAAATAAGTGGCGTAGGCCGCAAACAGATCACTGCGCGTGGAGCATCAATCATGGACCCGACCTTACGCACACACCTGGGACGCATCTGGCAGCAGTTCGCCGTCAATGGGATCTTCCTGCTTGGACACCCACTCCGTCACCTTCTGCAGCCTCTCATCTCCGACAGGTATGCCGCTCGTGTCAGGAGAAGACGGGTGGAGGACAAAGTCTAGCATCCCACGGACCTTTGCCAGCGCCTGAAGCTGAGAGTTCGCCATGGATGTTGCCGGTGATATGCGCTAATAGATACGCTGGCGTATTGAATGGGCCCGGGTTCGGTGCTGATACTCTGGAGCAGTGGTCCCGCAGAACAGATCACAGCGACCGCAGGTTCGCAGGTTTTCACCCATGCGGCGGGATTTTTGTACGTCCCTCCCCCCCCCTTGTGACGTGTGTCGAGCCTGTTGTGCTGCAGTGGTGCAGTGGTGCAGAGCTGCTGTGTGCGGTGTGCTGTGCGGTGTGCGCTGTGTACTGTGTAATGTGTGGCGTACGCGGTGAGTGCATGAACAGCACGCTCTAACCATGGCGCTTGTGCTTCGATTAGAGTCTTGAACGGCGGGACACCGCTGGTGGGGTGTTTAGCCTTATCCACCCCACCGGTTGGGCACGGACTATTCGTGGTTTACCCCACCGGCCGTGGCACCACCAAACCTTTATCGTTCGGCATCACAATAGATCCCACGATAGCCCTGCAACGCAGCAATACATTCGTGCGTGTCTTGTGTCAATTGGAGTCTTGTAGGGCTACATACGGCAGTGGGGAAGTCTGCCTGCAAGAGGATAGAATGCAGTGTTCGCTACCCACTTCGGGTGTTTCGCGTCATGCGGCTGGATTTCTTGACCTGTTCGCCCTCCCGGGTGCTGCCTGCTACTGTTCGCTGTGCGTGCATCGACCAGACACTCCTACAAGTGGTTGTGTGTCGATTGGAGCCTTGTCGAGGGAGATCCAGCTGGTGGGGTCAATAACGTTATCGACCCCACCAGTGGGGTAGCGGCGGTATGTTCCCCACCGACCGTGGCACCACGAAACTGTGCCGTTTCGGCCTCACGATGGATCCAATGATGGCCCTGCAACGCAGCAGCACACCCGTTGAAGTCCTGCGCCTATTGGAGGCTTGTACAGCGAGATACAGCTGGTGGGGTGTTAAAGGCTTAACCACCCCACCGGTGGGGTGTTTAGCCGTGCCGTTTCTTTTGTTGGACACAGATACCCTATGTCATTGGTGAGGAGACTTTCGCGGGATGCAACATACATCGCGAAGACAGGAACTGAAAACAAAAGAGGGAAGGAAGGAGGGTTGGGGAGGGTGTCTCAGATCAACACAAGAAGAGGGCGAAAAACAATCCACCTTTGTTTTTGTTGTCGGTGTACGTTCGTTTTTTTTCCGCCGACTTTTATTTTGACCTCTCGCAACCAGTTCAATACCGCTCGCAGCAATCAAGGGTTTGAATGGCAGACCCCAGCTCATCCCAATTTTATGCTGCTTGTTTCAGGGAATGCTTACGCCGGCAATCAGTGTTTGAATCGTGACCTCCGTGGGAGGGCTCCAAAACCCAGCAAGCATTCCTCGAGCGCGACCAACAACACACATGAACACGCTAAATGTACGCGAAACTCAGACGCTCCTAGTTTTTCGTATTATTGTCTCCGGGAATGTAATCCTTCGTCAAAAGAGCCACCCCTGACCACTAGGTCGCCCATCGAACCTGCCCCCGCGACACCCGCGCCTTGCCCACCACCTCACCTGCCCGCGGGCAACATCGACCCTGATCGTCTTCTCTCCCCGGTGCGTGGAGATCTTGAGCTTGCTTTTTTTCACGACGTTGCCGGCACACCTTCCCCACGCTTTCCGTAATTGGGCACGTTGCCTTTGGCGCCACGAGTTGACTTCCGTCAACACCATCCAAACGAGTTGCCTCTCCCCCTCGCGCACGAACAACCTGTCGCTCCCATCACCTGTGCAACCCAGGCAACGACGTTCAACGGGGCGCAAAACGATTGTCGTAGTGAATCGATTCTGCGACTGGTTCGTGCGCGCTGAAATAAAGGCTTGCCTTTTCTCTACACGCCAAGTGAAGCGCTTGCATACACATGAAGGCCAGCCATACAGCAGAACTACATGACCTTTACGTATTACGAAGTGGTACATAGTAGTGCCTCGGTTTCCCCAAAATATCTATCATATTGAATTGCAAATACTCTCAATACTCGGTGTGGCAGGCTTTTATGATCTGTGCTGAGCTCAGGCTGTGGGAGGTCCTCAACTACACCTCGACCTACATAGCTTCAAACTACTGCCGTGATGGTGCTATCGTCCATTGTAGATAAAAAAGTACGCGGCATCCCGCAGGTAGGCTCCGCCGCGGTGCCGTCTGCGGTAGGTTGTTAGAAAAAAAAAAGACCTAGAAACCATTTTGAAATTCTCACGCAACACATGTTAAACCTATGACTACATGTATACACGCATGAGGAACAATTCTCCACACTCACCAGAGCTTGTGTCATCCTCGTACTCGTCGTCCTTCTCCTGGTGCTGCTGCTCTCCCTCTTCCTCCTGCTCCCCTTCTTCCTCCTCCTCTCCCTCTTCCTCCTCCTCTCCCGCCCCGCCCGTGGAATTTTCGTGTTGGCGGGCGCTGTCGTGGCCCATGCCACTCGCGTGTGCCGAATCCAGCGAGCTATCCAGGTCCAGCGGATCTGCGGTAGTCCCTTAAAACGACCTCGCCGCATCACGGCCTCGCCTCCCGCTGCTGTAGTCGAACGCCTCGTCGAGCGGTTTGGGCCTCGGGGTACGAGGCGAGGTACGACTGCCGGCGGGAGAGCGCCGGCTTCAGAATCGCTTGGTTCCCCTGTGGAGCCCATGTCGAATCAAAGCGACAGCAGCATCGCGAACGCGCCGGCCCCAGGGTCCACGCCCCTCTTCGCGAGGTAACCCAGCCCCAAGCGCTTGTGTGTTCGACCAAAAAAGAAACGGCCCTTGTCAGGGAGGGCACCCCTTGCGAGTGTTGTCGCCGCTCCTCTCACACCGCCGGCCACTCTCACACACGAAACCGCGGAACGCTCCTCTTACGCGGACCACACCTACCAAGGCGCGGACCAGGCGGTTCACACTCTCTTCCCCATTCGGCAGGAGGTAGACGCAGAGGTAGCCTTGCTGTTGTGGTTAGATTGCGCGTTGCCTCGTTGCTCGGCAGACGTGTGAACGAAGTGCCCCTTGGCGGGTCGCTTCGCGAAAGCACAAGTTTGGAGCGCCTCATTGTGCGCGGAGGCAGACACCATCAGAAAGGTGGACGGGCACTACACGGCCCTAGGTTTGCTAGAGGGAGCTGTATTGCCTCAGTAACCTGGCTTCGCCATCGAAGGAGGAGGGAGCAGGTGGCGACGAGCTGAACTGGGCTGGTTGACCATTCGGCGCGAGAATTTTTANTCGGGCTGACTACAGCGGCGCCGGACGGAGCAGCGGCACCGGAGCATGCGGGCGACATCGACCCGTGGCGCACGGACAAACATTTCTATCTGTGTTGTCATCTTTTTCCGTTTTTTTGCTGACTTTCTGTGTTGGTTTTGTGTGACTCTTCCCTGTAGAGCCGGTGTTCCCTTTCCGCGCCGGTGTGCCTCAATACGTGCTTGTGGCAGTTGCTGTGGTGCCGTCAAAACTGGCCATATTTGTGGGGTTTATTGAAAAATTATGGCGTTTTGGTACAGGGGATGGGCTTGTTTTGTTCCCGTACATGCCAAAAATTTGACATGGACGTACACCCCCCCGAGGGAGGCCGAGACCCGCAAGTGCAGCTAACCCTCGAAAAACCACCCAACAACGATGGATATACGGTCCCGAGCACCGTTTTGGAGAGGATCCTGAGGTTGGCGGTCGGGAGTTACCGCGGTCACGAGATCGAGGTAGATCGCGATAAGCCAACTTGGAGACAGCTGCCGATGGGTTTGAACCCAAATGCC